ACCACAGTGTAAACTCCTGCAGAGAAAGGTCTGCATTCCATTCCTGTGCTCCAAATCCCTCACACCACAGCTAGAACATTCTTTTGACTGAGTGTGTGTGTGTGTTACTAAGGATTGACCTCAGGGCCTCTGCACTGAGCTACATCTCCAGCCCTTGGGTTTTTTTTGTTTTTTTGGTGGGGGGGGGGATGGTTTATGTGTTTGTTTTTGACACAGTGTCTCACTGTTGCCCAGGCTGGAGTTGAACTCATGATCTTTCTGCCTCAGCCTCCCAGAGTGCTGGGATTACAGACAAGCCACCACCCTGGTTTGGCCTGTTTCTGAAGAGCAGCAGTATTCAAATTATTCTTGGTGGAGGTATTTCTTCTTCCTTCAAAGCTTATCGCTGTCCCCCAGAAGGAAGGCATCTGATATCTACTGAGCCGCTCCCACATAGCAGGAACCGGGCCAGGGGCTCACGCACTTTTACCTCATAATCCAAATAAGCCAGTGCTGCCACAGCCAGAAGCTAAGCGTGTTTGTGGTCCAAACACGGCAACCCAGGCACACAGGTTTCCATCATGGGCTGCAAGTAATTTGGAATTTCCAGAGAGATGACGGTTCAACTTGGGATCAACTTCCTAACATTTCTTAAAAATGAGATTTTGAGTGCTGGGCAACAAAGTTTGCTCCCTGACAAGTGTCTGGGAATCAGGAATCAGTGCTGACTGAGGGTTGGAGTCACACAACCACGGCAGCCGGAGCTGAGGACATCAATTCACCTGCTCCTGGAAGCATGAGCAGCACAAGGAGGCCTGGCTCAGCCAGAGACCTTTGCCTCTGCACGGGCGACCTTAGTAAGGGTGCCTGCCACCACAGACCAGGGCTAAGCACTTCCGGCTGTGTTCCAACACGTGCACAAGTGCACAAAAACCCTGCCTTGTGTCCACCGAGTATGAATGCTGCCATTTTAGCCTAAATTTAAAAACAGAAGCAGAAACCCACACCCTTTATTTGGTGCACAAATCCACCAAATTAGTGTCCATGGAAATACCTATATTTGACTGGTCCCATCAGATTTAGAGAGATTGCTGGGGTTAGGGATATAGATTTGGAATAAACCTCCATGAATACTGATTCCTACAAACTCTAGATAGTAAAATCTCATCAGCTTCATATAAACATCACTGGTTTACTAGCAACTACGTAAAAGAACACATCTAAAAAGGAGGTGGAAAAACTAGGGCTGAATTAACGAGATACAACCAAAGTAGAGAAACTTACTTCCATTACTGGCACATTTCTAAACAATTGTTAAGAGTTTAATGAAGATGAATGGATAAAGAAATCGTGGTACACACACACGGTGGAGTACTACTGTGCCATAAAGAAAGATAAACGAGTCCATTTGTAGGAAGATGGATGCACACTGAGACCACATTAAGGGAAGTCACTCTGAGACACACACGCTTACACCTCATTATTTCTGTCATTCGGAAAACCCAAAGTAAAGATAAAGAGCAAAATAAAAGGTAACAGGAGGTAGGGAGACAGGGCCTTCTCCAAGGGGAAGCGGGTCAAGAGATGGAGACGGAGAGGGAGGATGATAAGCGGACTAAAGCTGCAGTGTCCGCGTGCCAGCTCCATACAAGGAATGGAAACGTTACGTACTGCAGACATAGACTAATAAAAGTCTGAAAGACCAATAAAAAATCAAAAACCAAAGTTTATCCCAGGTTTTAAAAGAATCCAGGTGTGGTGGCTGAGGCTGAGCAGAGAATCACTGCAAGTTCAAGACCAGCCGGGTACAAAGAGTTCAAGGTCAGCATTACGACCGCACAAGCTCACTTTAAAACAGCTCAGGGGGCTGGTCACACAGCTCAGAGCTACAGCGCCTGCCTGGCAAGCACAAGATCCTGAGTTCAATTCCCAATACCAAAAATTAACCAACGGCTTAGATAGCTTCAAGGTCCGTCACAAGGGTACAGTTAAGCAAGAGAAATCACTCCAGCTTTTGAGCAGGAAAACTTTAACACAATAATTGGTAAGTAGGAAAAGCTGGTTAATAATTTAAAGGAGTAAAGCAACTAGCTCCAGGCTGAGGATAAGGTAGCAGGAGAGCTTCTCAGGAGGGTGTGGTTCCACAGGAACACACAGCTGCCAGGTGAGGGCGTGGCCGGGCCAGGCACAGTCATGGTAGCAGAGTAGGATGCAGCTTGAGGCGCTGAAGCCCCTCTGCTTAGGCTGCTGGGCTCCATGATGGATAGAAACCAAAGCAGCAGGAGCTGTTGACAGCTGTGTGCAGCACCTACCTGCTAAGAGTGAGGTCTTGAGTTAGAGCCCTGTGCTACCCAAACAAAAAAACAGAACCCTGAAATAAATGAGTCTTTTGCTGCTGCTGCTCTGCAGTGTCACTGCAGTGTCCTCTATTGACGCAGTCTACCATGATACTAGCTGTCAAAGGAGAGTTCAGAGAGCCCAGCTCCAGGGGCACCAGGCAGGGCAGACACGATGCCTGGAGCTGCAGTTGTTCCCTCCTTTGGGCATAGTGCCCGCGTGTAGACTCATGCTGTCTGATATTCACTGAGTACTTGAAATGTTTAAAACATATGCCAGGTCTCAAAGACTAAGTATCAAAAGGCAATGTAGCATATCCCATTAGTTTTGTGGGGCGTACCTCAATTCCATGCAGTAATATTTTTGATATATTAAGCTAAATAAATTACATAAAAATTAATTTCCTCTATTTTTAATTGGGGCACTAAAACAACTCGAAATTATTCGTGTGGTTTGTATCCCAGTTATTGCTGGGTGGCTAGAACAATTGGCTGCATTTGAAAGAAAGTTTTTTAAGATCCAACAGCTTCAGGTTAGTGAAACAGCCTTTCCAACTGTCCTTCCTCCTCCCCGCGTGTAGGGTTTCATTCTGCTACATGTCCGGGTTCTGCAAACACCATTAACCCCAGGCCTCCTCACCTGCAATCCAAAGTAACAGTGCCCAAGTTGATTCTCACTCTAGATTTCCGTTGTCATCTCCAACATCAATTTCTAGAATAAATACATTTATGGCGCCCAATAAATACCAAACGTGTACTTGCTACATAAATCAGTCTGAAAGAAAACATCTCCAGAAGAATCCACACAATAAAGGACATTATACAGTAAAGAGCTCTCAAGTGCAGAAGAGAGAGAAACTGTAGCTTCTACTCCTGAGTGACCTCCTTGGTTGGGTCATGTGGACACCAGGCCCTCTGCTTCAGTATCTGCTCAGAGAAGGACAGAGCTGAACTCAGTTTTACTCAAACTGATCTTTGTAGGGGTTGAAGTTAACTTTAAAAAAATACTAAACTAAAAGATAGAACACAGTACCTTTAAAGACAAACTCTGGCTTCCGGCTCAGAGAGTGGCTGCAAAATAAAACCCATCTCTTACTACGTCGCCGCTCAAAAGCCAACAACGCAGCTGAATCCTTCAGAATCTGGCAGTCTCGATTCTAACAGATTTATTGTCTTAAAACTGTTTGGAGAAATGGAAGGAAAAGATTATATGTATAAGGGTACACATGTAACTTTATGTATACATGTATACGTGTGTGTGTGTGTGCAATACAGATAACTATATTACTGTTAGTTCATCCAGAAGAACAGTTTGTGCCATCATTGTTGGATCATTTTTTATGCCTAGATCTTGTAACCTGAACAGCTACTTCTAAAATAACAATATGCCATATATTAACCAGTGTTGACTTGTTTTTTTAAAAATCCTATATTATTTCTATCATTTTTCTGTTTTGCTTTTTTAAAAATTAAAAGGAAAAAAAACTGTTCCAAGTCACCAAGTATAAAATCACAACTTAATGTGGAAAGGTTTAAAAGCCAGAATTTATTGGTGCACACTTTGCTTGCTGTCAGGCATCTCACATACTCCTTTAAGCAACCATGTGAGGTATTTTACAGGCTAAAAAACCCTACCTCCTTAATCAAGGAGAATGGTTATAAATGTTGCTAAATAAAAGCAAAAAAAAAACCAAATTCAGGCTATTTACATTTCTTTTATGCATTCTCTACATGTATCATACATTTCTAACATTAGAAGAGAACCAATTTGAATAAAAGAAAATCTCTGTTGTAATGTTTGTCTGTACATGCTTCCTTTAACCTACCAATTTTCTACTCTAAGCACCAGAGGCTTAAATCCTTTCAATGTGTGAAATAATTTGAAGGTGATTTAAGTACTTTAAATACTTTGCTTAATAGAAACACATTTGCCTAAAATAGCACAGCTTTTCAAAGGCAATTTTATAACAGAAAAAGGCAAAGGCTCATTTGATGGGAATGAGTTCAACAAAATACCTTTGAGAAAGTAGAAAAAATGGGTAAGAACAACTTTATAAAAATGCAGCACCACCACTGCCTCAATGAATGAGCAAACATTAGCAAGTAAAAATTACTTACAATCACAGCGTATTTTTAAAAAATAACCTATTTTCATATTTAGAAGTTCAAGTCATGTAAACTGTTACATTACGGTTTTCTTCTAATTAGGAAATGAACACTGACATCAAGTCATTTATAAAATAAAAAATAGTTCCCCAAGTTGAAACAGAGACTACTGAATTGTTACAAAGAAAAAAATTTTCAATATATAATTTTATACCATTCGTAAGCTTTCCCAAGAGAAATACTATGTTAAAACAACAGAGCTAAACTAGTCAAGTAATGGATGTATTTGACAAAAACATTTTTGGGCTTTGTGGTTTTCTTCATTTCTTAGACAACTTTCTTCAGCAATCTTATCAGTCCTAAAATCGTACCACAAAGTGCAGCTCAGAAAGAAACTAGATGTGAAAGGTAACTTTTATTGTAAAGTATCCCCCTTCTTCAACTGAGTATCATCAGCTATGTCATCAAATTAGATTTTGCAATCAAATACCATCTATTATAGAGTGTGTATATGTATATATGTATATGTATTTTTCAATGAATATTCATATTCAGTGAATAAACTTAGTACCAGCCCACTAAACTTCATATGGTTTATTTTAAGTGATTGCTGGTTCCAGATAATTAAAAACCACAAACTGTATGGCAGCAACTATAGTACATTTACAGTTCTTCAAAGGATAAAGTTATCACATAACAGTGGGATACAATTTTTAAAACTACAAATGACACAGCATAAGGCTCTGTGGTTGAATAATCAGCAAATTAAAAACAGAAAAGTTCTGAGGAGTAAAACATGTTGTCTGTTGTAAGAACTTATCCTTTCCTTTCTCAAACAGCTGCTTATGGATGGACGTGAAAATGTGCAAACAAAAGGTTACTGCAATTCCTAGGAGACTTCAGTCGTAGTATCTGATGAGGTCAGACCATCACAGTAAGCTCAACATTAGTCCATTCGTACAGAAGATACAGCCTCATTTGTACAGAAGTCTAATTACATTTGAAACAATACAGCAAAAATCTCCAAGTTTACTGCTTAAATACAATTTAATTCTTACAAATTTCTTTTGAAATGTAATTCATTTGTGCTACAACCTCGTAAATTTAGATTCAAAATGAAACATGAAGGCAGTCGCCAGGGATCCCATCAGATTGCTTGGCCAATCATCCGCACACAGCAGTACATCTCTCCTCTGCGATGCGGTAGGGAAAAACAGACCTTCAATACATCCAAGTAAATGCAGAAAAATACAGTTATTTGAGGCAGATCATGCTAAAATATAATGTACAATGATTAGTCTGCATTTAAGATGGTTAATAATGCTTTTTAAACCAGTAAAATTAAGGTAAGATAAATTCTGTAGTATTTGCTCGGTCTTTTATACTAAACATTAGTTCGTCTGCAAAGTAAATAAGAATGTAAGAAGCAAAAAGCCTGATCATTTTTCTTATACTTCTCATTTTCTCAGTCATCTAAATGCAAACAAATCAATAAGCATCAACATTTTCCACATATTAAAATGAAGAGTAGTGACTTGTAAAGACAGACCGTGTACCAAGCAGTGTACACAGAGGTGAATATGCAGTTACCATCGACTCAAGTTTTTGAAATAACATCAAGATTTACAAGGCAAAATAAACATCTGATTTAAAAATTCTGCTGTTCAAGATAACTCAGTTGTCCCCTTTTCTCTCTGACACTGGTAAGGAGAAGGATTTTAAAAACCTAAAGAGTCGTTAAGAGGAAGAAAATTCTTAATTTTAAAAAATCTCGTCTGGTTAGGAGTTCACACAACCTCTATGCTGGCTGGCATGGGAACCGATCCTCTGTCACAAACATCCACTCTGCAATACTAGTTGCTTCAAGCCAAGTAAACAAAGATGTAAATAAGCTTACCCAGAAAACGGAAGTAATCCCTCATTCACAGGAGCAACGCACCTCACCCAAAAAGGTCTTTCAAATCATTGCTAGCTGAACTGCTACTGGTCATGGTCGTGGGCGGTTGTACAAAGTTCGGGGGGTTAAAGAAAGGGTTACCCTGCATGCCGAAGGCAGACTGTCCTACCATGTTCACCTGTGGTCCCATCACTGAACTGCCCATACCTGGAGAACCTTGCGGAGGTACAAACTGATTAAGCCACTGATTTGGTTTCTGCTGTGATAGCTGGTTCATGCTAACTTTGGGTTTCTGAGGACCAAAGAGATTATTAAGGGCAGACATATCTGTGGGTCTTTGTTGGGACTGCTTTGCCCCAGCAGGAGGAATGCTCAAAGCGCTGAAGTTTGGCAGGGTGGGAGGCGCTCCCAGAGTCAGGCTGCTCACACCAGGTGTGCTTGTACTACTGAAGAAGTTCTGGTTCGTGTTAACCGGCATACCGAATCCTGGAGTCTGAAAGCCCATATTGCTGGTCAGGCCATTTGTCAAATTTCTCTTTGTATTGTCAATTGGTGTAGAAAACATCACACCCAGACTCGAGGAAGGAACGGAAGTGAAGGTACTTGAAGCAGCAGGTTTAGGGGTGCTGACAGACAGGCCAGTCAAAGATGACACATTATCCATCAACGTGTCTGTCAGGTCCTTGGCCTGAAAAATATGAGGGAATTACTTATCTCCAAGAAAACCACTCCACTTTATAATTAATGAACATTAAATTACAAAGGACAAGTTTAAAATACACTCAACAATCTGTATCAAGTTAACAAACTATGGCCTGCAAGCCAAATATAGCCTGTATCATTTTTGTAGATTTTACAGATGACTATTTGCAATCAATTCAATGACAGTGAACATTAACATTAAACTCCAATTACGTAAAATGTTATTTCCCAGAACAGAATTACACTCTTTTAATTAGTAGAGCTATATTACAAAAAAAGGATTCTTTATTATTTTGAATTTCATCAAAATTTTGTGGGAATTTGTCTTTCCTATTTTTAATTGTGCTTTCTGACCTGCAAAGACTCTCTTCCCAGAGAAAGAATCTCAGTGATTAAGAAGTAACAACAACAAAATACATTAAAGCTTATGAGATAGTTATTTTTTAAACTGTTAACAGTGTGAAGTTTATAAGCAGGGCCCTTATCACTGCCACAACACAGCACCTACAACAGTACCTGGAACACAGTAAGAAATAAATATTGGTCAGGAGATGCAGGAGCATCTGCCCAACTCAAGTTACAAACCTGTCCCTGAAAAGCCAAAACCTGTTAGCTCAAAAATTCATTAAGAGCATAAACATTGTATTCCTGATCATTTCAGAGTAGACAGAACAGAGTCACTATTAGGACACCTACTTTTTTTACGCTCCACCTACTCATTCACCCATTTCTCTATTGGTCACAAGCACTGCCATGCAACACTGTGTATTAGCAGGATAGGAAGAGTGTGGGAAAACCCTTGTAGTTACTTTTTGGAAACTGGATAGTACTCTTTGAAACAAATACACCTCTCACAGCCCCAGCAGAGTAGACTGCCGGTCCAGAGCCCTCACAAGCAGCACCCTTGAAACTGCACAAACAAGTCTGACCTGCTTCACTGGAGCCACAGTGGTGTGCACCTGGGGACTCAGGGGCTGCTGGCTTCTCAACTTCTGGGCCTGCTCCTGTTCTTTTGCTAATTTTTGTTTTTCTTCGAGTGTAAGTGATGCCTTAAAAGAAAACAAAGCAAGAAAAAAAAATCAACTGGCAACTTCATAATTATTTGTAAAACAGAAGACTGATAAAGTCCATCTGCCGGTCCCGCCGCCGCAGTACCTACTACTTAACAGCAAAGCGTGCTCCGGTGCTGGCGACTGAGGCAGCTAAGTTCTATTTCTAACTACTACCAGATTTAATTCTAGAGAGAAACTCACAGTATGTGCTAAGACACTTCTATTACAAGCATTCATTAGAATCATCTTTTAGACAGAAATGAGAATACGGTTAACTCCTTCCTACAAAACTGGGAGATTCTGTTCAACTCCAATCTATTTCATTCCATAAAGCTAAGAAAGAACAAAACAAGTCCTTGTCATTGTCAATGTCTGCATCAAATCTGATGTCTGTTTTTCCTTTATCAATGTTGCCAAACTGAAAGCTCACAACGTCTGACAATTTCATTCCCTTTAAACTTACAGGTATTCACATTTTGTGAATACGTGGAAGTCTAAACCTCGCAAGAATATTTTTTTATACTGGCTACTAAGCAAAATTTCAATAGGGAAGCATTATTTTAGTATTCCAAGTCAGAGGGAGAAGAAAAATTTTTTGTTTGTTTATGAGATGGAACCAAATCTACTTTTCAAATTCTCTTGAGAACCAGGAAGAAAGCTAAACCCCTGCCTGTGAGCCAGCCAGAGAGCAGATGGGGAGAACCAGGATGGAAGCTAAGCCCCTGCCTGTGAGCCGGCCAGAGAGCAGATGGGGAGAACCAGGATGGAAGCTAAGCCCCTGCCTGTGAGCCGGCTGGCAGGCAAGCTGGGGAGAGGAGACCGGTTGCCCTGCACCCTACAGCAACCAACAGACTCGGGGAACTGTATTGTTTTATTGATTTTGCAAGCCTGAAGCAAGGAATTATTTAGAGGACAACATTATGCAGTGACTATCGCAGATTTCCTACTGTCTTACACTGTTTTGATTCATTTCACTGTTCTATTTTATTTCCTTTAAAATTAAATAAAAATAAAATTCCCTTGAAAAGTGATGATTCACCACTAATAAGCTGCATAAAAACATGAATCCCTATCAGAAGAAACCAGGAAGGGCCCTCTCTTGTTTCTGTGGTATTCTTGCCAAAAATGTAAAACTTTAGTCTAACAGAAAACATCAGGCAAATCCAAACTGAGGGTCATGCTACCAAGTAACTGACCACTATTCTTCAAAAATCTCAAACAGAAAATTGGACAGACCAATAAGGTGAGGATTGCCACCATGAAATGAAAAGACAGGTGGATGGGGGGAAGGGTAATGACACAGGCAGGCAGGCAGACAGAAAGGTTGCTGGGCTTAAACTAAAGAAAAAGAAACAAAACACTTGACCATTTGGCCACAAGCCTGTCATCTCAGCCACTCAAAAGGCTGAGTCAGGAGGACTAACGGTTCTAGGCCAGACTGGGCAATTTAATGAGATCTCATGTCAAAACATAAAAAGGGCTGAGGTGTAGCTCAGTTCTCCCGGCACTGCTAAACAAAACAAAAAAGAAAATGAACACATCTGGGTGTGGTGGCACATAACCGTATGTCATGAAGAAAACTATAGAAAACTTCTTGGTAACAGGCTACACAGTATTTCCCAACAAACGTGGTGCACAGGAGGCCCTACCATATACACGAGTCCTAAAAAGCAGTGAAGCAGCTCACCCTTTTGGGTTTACTCTGTAAGCCATCTTCTTTATTTTCTGATTCACCACCAGTCAAAAGATCTGTTCCGATGTTGTTAAAAACTTTGTCAATCTGATGAAATAGAAAAAAAGAGATTTCAATAAGCATGCAGTCTCACTGCCTGAAGATTAAAACTCTTAAATAAAGCACACTGCCAAACACTTTCTGCAAAAATTAAATATCTCCCTACCTGATTTCCAACATTTGTAACTTTTGTCTCCTCAGAGGAATTCATTTGATTTCCTATGTCCAAAGATCTACAGGAAAGATGATTATGAAAAAGCAATAAAAATAAATTTTTATTTCATTCTTTAAGGACAATCTTTATCTTTTCCACTATTTTCTACTACTAAAGTCTGCTTGCTGAAAAAAAAATTTATATGTAAGTCTTTTTAAATTCAACTTTTTGAAACTTACTAGAAAATGTACTCAGAGTGCTATAAAACAAGGCAAATGTAGCTCTTGGTGTCAGAGTTTAATATAGTTTAATTCACACTAAGACAAGACATGATATGGGAAACTGATGATTCGGTTCAGAATCTGACAATGAACAGTAAATACTACTGTCACTGTGATGTGGTTTGGAACTGTGTCTTAAAAAATTAGATTTAGATAGGAAGAAAAACGAAGGTCTCTTTCCCCCCTCAAATATAAATATTAAACATCTATTTCAGGGCAGGGGTATAGCTTAGTGGTAGAGTACATGCTTAGCAAGTGTGAGGCCCTGGGTTCAACTTGTAGTACCAAAAAAATGAATAAGCAGGTTTTACTTATAATATACTTCTAAAAATTATTTTCCTAGGCCCCTACGTTAAGGCAGCCAATTCATCAAACTTCTCATACGTATACACACAAAATCCTCCGAGCACACCGAGGGCTGTTCTGCCTGTTTCTCCGGCACGAATCTAGACCTCCACATTCTTCACCTTATAATGAGACGGAAGCTACAATTTGTTTGAGGACCTTGCTTATGACTGATGTAAATGTTATTGTATCTCTGACTTTATTAACATTTTTTAGTGAATAATTTCCATCTTGGCCTTCTTTTTTTAAATGCTAGTATTCTGCAAATAACTTTAAAAATATTCCCTAAAATTAAGAGGTGAATGCTACATGTTCTGCAAGTGTTCCTGAGGTTAGAAAACAGATAGCAAGAAATTAAAACATCAGGGTTCACAGATCTGAATATCAGTGGATAATGCCAACAAGGGATTTTTCTCAGAAACATAATTTTCTTACATAAAGAAAATGCTAAGATTGTATATCACACTATGTCTTTGAGCTCAGAAGTCACATTAGATCTTCAGCAATATCCTGTTTTAACTCAGTTCAAAATGTTACGTTTGACATCTTCTAATACGTTTTACATACAGTCAGATTGAAATCCAGCGACTTTCCTACTCCACGTTCCAGACAATCAGTCCGAGGTGACTTTCCCTGGCCCAGGCGAGAAAAACACGCCCCAGCCTACTTACTTCTGCTGCTCCTGCATTATATGGAGCTGCTCCAGCTTCGTCTTGTGCTCGGACTCCAGCCTGCTGAGCATCTCTTTTATGACGGCAATGAAAGAGTTGAACTAGGAAGAGAAGAAATGGATGCGCCCGTCACATTTCAGGTTTGTAGTAAAGGTAATCAATTACGATAGCACAGTGAAGCTGATCAGTCTCCACTGTCAGGGAACAGGACTCACGCAGCAGCAGCGCCACAGGGACAGCGTTTGTAAACTGGGCACGCCGCGCATCTGTGCAGTGGTAGGTGCTCTCCTGGTCACTCAGGAGGCTTTGCAGTTCCACCAAACACGTCTCAAGGAGTTTTGTGGCCTAACTTGCTAACAGCTATAACCGAAGGGTCTTATATAAGTTATAAATTGATAATGCGTACCTACCAGGAAATAATTCTTTTAAAAACAGAGACAATTCCTATTTATTCAGATAGAAAAATGACATCTGGCTCACATAAACCTTATTTTCTGAAAAGTTAGTAGAAATTAAATGTGCATAATCCAACTTTTGGATAGAGTTCATGAAGTATGCCTAACACTATTCATTCATAATGGACTACAAGCTTTGGTTAACTTGGGGTGTCTGCTGCTGCTAACTCTGATGTTACTTCTCGATCTTCATAAACAAGTTATATGAATGACACCAGGAAGAATCTAGAAACCACTTTCTTCTCCCCAAATCTTATGTCTGTATCTCTTATTCAGACACTATCTTACTACCTTCACAACTTTCCAGAATAGGTGTATTAATATTTTTATTTTACACTCAGGCTCCAGGAGAGAGAAAGCAACCCCCTCATAAACTTTCAAGAGCTTCTATGACACAGTCAGTTTTCAGAGCCCAGCGAGGTGGCACATGTCTGTAATCCCAGTGCTTGGGAGGCTGAAGCAGGAGCATCACTATGAGTTCAAGGCCAGTCTGAACTACACAGTGAGACCCAGTCTCTGAAAAACAAACCAAAAAGCTTCCAGAGTTAGAATGCAGTGTCCTGAAGCCTGCGCCCTTCCCAGGACTCTGCCTCGCTACACCCTCCAGCGCAGCTCCTCTCCATCTCGTCACACGACTAACAAAGGCCTACTTCTCAGTTTACCAACACTTTCTGTTAACAACAACAACAACAAAAAAACCCTCTCACTGATACTAACAGAAAAGTGTAAGTGCACAGCTCAAAAAAACCTCACAAACTGAACAAACAGAACGTAACTGGTAGGCAGATGGAGAAACACGACGGTGCCAGAAGCTCCCTTGTTTTCTGGTCACTTCCCGCCCCACACTCCGAAGAGAACACTGTTCTGACTGCAGGCAGCAGGGACTGGTTTCGGCTGTTTTTGTACTTGGATTCATGGACTCATTGGGAGATCCTCTCCTACATTTGGCTTCCTTTGCTCAACATGACGTTTGTGAGAGGATCGACCCGCGTGGAAAGAGCTAACACGGCACGCCTGCCTGTGGCTTCGAGAGGAAGGATGTGTGCAGGAGGCTGGCCCTGCCGGTGTCCGGGAACTTTGATGTCAGGAAGGTGCCCTTGATGAACGGATAGCGGCTCGCTGTGCCTGCCTTGTTTGTGCGAAGAACGCTCTCTGTGCTGAACACCTGCTTCCCTTCTGGGAGTCTGGAATCTGAGAACAGGGAGGGGGAGGGGGTGCTCCTTGATCAGCTCTCCTTAAAAAGCGGGGCGCTGACTTCCTCTGGCCGCTCACATTTCATGAGTGGAGAACGGAGCTCGCCCCGCGGACTCCACTACCAGAGGTCTCCGGCTGGCGCTTCCACAGGGCTTCCTCAGCGAGACGACCTGTGCTGGCTCTTCACCACGGCACCCCTCGGCCGGGAGGACGGCTGTGTGTGTGCTTCTCCGTCATCTCAGGCAGGGGGACTGCTGAGAGTCCTCCCTGAAGACATCAGAGCCTTTCCCGCGACTGCCGCGTGGTATTCACTGTTTCTTAATCAAATGTTAAAAAACGTTTTCCCAAGTGTAACATCTTTTTCACTTCATGCATAATATACTTATTTCAAATCATAAGTAACAGAAGTGGGCAGTGGAATTAGAAAACCTGACCATGAGATAAAGAGGAAAGCAGACCATAGCCATACTAAAATAACTAAAATACCAGAAAACCGGATTCATAGTATTTCTCCAGCTGAAAACAGGCCTTCCGAGCATTATACAGCTGAAGAAAATAAATACTTCAAATAGCTCATCTTATCCTAAAGTAAGTCCTAGATATTTTTAAACATCCTAAATTAAAAGTACGAGAACTAAGAATATAAATGACATTTCCTATTTATACTCAATATTCACAGTCTCATTTTTCTAATCCCAGCCCAAAACCTACACTGAAGACGAAGCGTCAAAGCCAGGGACAGTGCAAAGGCCCGGTACTGTCCACGTCCCCCTGCACATTCAGCCTCTCCCCAACACCAAAAGCACCACCATTTCCTTCAGCCTTCTGTCTCTGTCATGGCTGTAATTCACTTTTCAGACCCCATTCCAACAACTCCCCACATCTCCATCTCTGACTGTCAGTTCAACAGTAACTCCTTCAGCCTTTCACACGACACTTCATTAAACATCAGTCCTATTGTCAACAAAAATGGCTTACTCTGTGTTAATCCAAACCTCAAGTGTTCTCTCAACTTTTGGTTCTGGCACTGATCTAGGGCTGAGGGTACCCAATGAAGAATAAGCCGTGACAACTAGCTCAGAGTTTACTCTCTTCAAGAAAGTCAGTACAGACACAGCAGCGTTCAGCACAGTCGAGGTACACAGAGATAATTCTGCAGTAATTGTTCAACACTCAGGACTCGTGCTCAAACATCTACAGCATCTTAAAAGTTCAAATACCTAAAGGAGACAGGCATTTAGTCTACCAATTCTAGACTCACTTTGTTTCATCTCATTATTCTTTTTTGTGTCACACTGAATTATTCTTCCCTCTGGCAGACAACTCTTAATTATCTCCTCCTCCCGTTATTTAAGTGTTTGTATAATCTCTTATCTTTGAAGGTGGAAGGACATGTGACCAGCAGCTTCAAAGCTGACCAGCTTCAAAACAATAGAATTATAACACACACAGTGGGATATCACAGCCTTGATTACACTGTAAGAGAGAAACTTCGGTCTTGCCAGCAGGCTCTTTTGCTGGCTGTGACAAAACAAGCCAGCTGTAGGGTCACATAACACAGAACTGACAGGCACAGCTAGCTGACACACATCGAGGACTAAGTAAGGAGACCCCGCTGTGTGTTAGCTGGATTCGGCCTGAAAGACCTCCATGAACCATGCAAGTGAGTGTGAAGCGGATGGTTCCCACACGGGCCTTCTTCACTGCGGCTCCAGGAGGCCCGGAGCGGAGCCCACCCTTGGCATGGTTAGCCCCCAGAAACTGCGACATGATAAATCTGTGCTGTTCTAAAATACAGAATGTGCAGTGACTTGTTACATTGCACTGAAGGCCAAGTACAGTCCCCAAATACATTCAATGTCTTTGTTCATGACGGCTTCCCAGCCCAAATTTAAAGTCATCCCAAATGCAACACATCTTTCAACAACCTGTTTATTTACCATCTCCCAATGAGGCCTTCAATAATCTCCCCGTCCACCCCATAAACTCTCCTCTCCTAATTCTCATATCTTCCCTTGTTTAGCAATTTTTATGTGCAGTATACAATTTGTGAAAGAAAAAACACCAAGCAAACAACTGAATAAATTGAATAAACCCCAAAATATCCCTACCTGGTTAAGATTAAGGTTGTTTTCGATGCTCAGGGGAATGAGGTGAGGCAGTACTTTTCCAGCCAGCTGCTCTTTGGTAATTCCTAACTTCTTGTGAGTAAAAGTACATTTGTAAATACCTGGTAGGAAAAAATGTGACAGGATGTATGAGCTCACACTGCAATTTAACAGACATACCGCGAGAACTCTGACACTCGGCGCAGCACAGTGAAGTATAGGACCTGCACCTCACTCACGGCTTCAGTACACTTCAGTACACGGAACTCCCCCGGCTGAAGCTCAGCAGGTGATTCAGCTCCACGCGATCCCTTCCCACTGCTCACCTATTTGTTTCAACTGCAAGACTTCACTGCTGCGTCAGTCCCACAGTCCTCCTTGGGTACACCGCCTGGGAGAAGGCTTGATATTCTCTGAACACTTTTTTTTTTTTTTTGGTCTTTTTTCATTTTTCTCGGTACCAGGGATCGAACTCACAACTGCCTGCTTGCAAGGCAGGTGCTTATGCCGCTGAGCTAAATCCCCAGCCCCTGAACACTTTTATATTTTAAAAGTTTTGAAATTATCTGTCACATCAGAACATTCCACCTCCTACTATTTGTTAATGTGCACATGAATTACTTTACTGAGCACCTGCTGAATGTCTGTTTGGTAGGCGCTATGCTTATTACTTTTGGTTTCACTAAATTCTTTTAAGAACCCTAGAGTGATGTCACTTTTATTCTTTTTTTTTTTTTTTTTTTTTTTTTTTTGTCTTTTTCATTTTTATCGGTACCGGGGATCGAACTCACTACCGCCTGCTTGCAAGACAGGTGCTCATGCCGCTGAGCTAAATCCCCAGCCCCCGTCACTTTTATTCTTGTTCAATAAACGAAGGAACTTTCTTCTCCTATACAGAACTTCTGCTCAAGAACGCAAATTTCTTTTTTTTTTTTTTTTAACTTTTTTTTGGTCTTTTTCGTTTTTACCGGTACCAGGGATCGAACTCACAACTGCCTGCTTGCAAGGCAGGCGCTTATGCCGCTGAGCTAAATCCCCAGCCCCAAGAACGCAAATTTCTTAAGAGCACAGATTCAAATCATATCCCAAGAGTTCTACATCCAAGAAAGGTCCAAAATAAATAACTGTTAATCACTCCCACAGTACTTACCAAGAGCTTTATACAGTTGTGCACTATGGTAGATGTTAAGATACAGAGACACGTAAAAAGTGTTTCTTAAAAATAAAAAGGCTCAGCCCAGAATGGCAGTGCATGCCAGGAACACCAGCCTTTAGGAGGCTGAGCCAAGAAGACCACGAGGTTGAGGCCAGCCTGTGCAGCACAGAGTTCAAGGCTGGCCTGCACTAGAGCAAGAACCTGTCTCAAAACCCAAAATATAAATCAAAGGAAGAGCCTCAAGTTTAATAAAAATACAATTGTTAATCCTTTTGTTCTTCTACAGTTATGTCTGTTTCTATCAGCATAAAACCCAATGCCATTTTCAGACGACATTTTCACAGCTTTGAATACATATAATTTCATATAATTATGCATATAATTGTTTCTTGACAACAATTTTAATTTGCTGATAGCACAGAATATGTAAAAAGCTAATATACTTTAGTATATCAGGAATAAAATATACTGGCTAAGACTTAACATATCTAAATTTTAGAAATAAGCTCTTCCACTTACCACTTGTATGATCCTGAGTAATTTATTTCACCTGTCTGAGCCTCAGTTTCCTTGCTTTAAAACAAAATAATTCCTATCTCACTCGATTAAGGACAGAGAAAAGTGCTTTACCTCTTAGAAGTTGAATACCAAATAAATACCAGGTTTTATTACTAAGACTGGCATCAGCATCTCAAGGAATTCCGTTTGCCTCTCCTATCTTGTACCTTTTATGGGGGAAACTATGCCATCATGACATTTGTGAAAGTATGTTTCTTAATTATCTTATTTATTTTTATGAATGTATTTTCCTGCTTTTGCTTAAATCAATGAAGAAAAAACTATCAATACTTATCTCATCATTCTTCAATTATTGAATGTTATATACATGAAAATAATGATTTTATGGAAATTATATTTGCATAACAAACTGCAATAAAATACTTGTGTGAAATATTTGAAAACAATGAAGTCAGAGCAAATGACAAGGTTTTAGCTACCTAAAATTCCCATGAGGACCGCAGGTTCCTTGGATGGAATCTGTTGTAAGAAGGGCAGCAGATCATCAAGTACAAACCATTTATCCAAGTATTCCAGTATCTTTCCTAAGCACACTAGTGAATTCACACGAACCTATTAAAAGAGATAATCACGCATTAGTGATATAGTCTTTGTAACTCATAACAAAATATTACATGTAAATTTAATCTTCATATAGATATATGCTAAATTTCAAGAGTAAAAGGTTTTGAATTCATGCTTTAATAAGAAAGGAAATTCACTAACTTCCCTGACTTGCTTCAGAAGGAATTTATAACTGTTTCACCAAGACACGAATCAAATACAAGGAATGACTTCAATTCTGTAGTATTTTAAACAAAGTGGCAGGACTGGACAAGTTTTAATTATATACGTGTTTACCAAGAACATGCCTTTGGGAATTTTTAATTTTATAAATAAGAATACATTCTCCTCATCAACTGACCAATTTCACAGATTCTAGTATTTTACTTTAACTCAGGTTCAGCTGGTTCTTAACTATTTTAACATTTGACATTATCAATATTTGACTAACATAATGTTTTCTACTTCTAAATGCATCTTTAATAGGGAAAAATCAACATTTAGATATTCTTCTCAAAATTCTAATTTGCTTAGCTTTTGATAAATATGTGAAACCCTGAACAACGCAGTTTTTAGGTGAAGTTGTTAAGATGTAATGCTCTTTTAAATCAGGACCAGAATAGCAATAAAACTCTAGTTTTTAAAAAAGTAATCGAACAAAAATAGAAAATAATTTGGTTGGTTAAAATTGTACCATATTTGTACAGGAAAAATGAATTTTCCATTTCTGAAAAACAATGAACCACTTTGTGAAGTTTAACCAGGAAACATTATAAATTGAAAATGATACTGGAAGGCTTATCTTTATTCTTACATTTAGTTTTACGCAAGCAAACCAGGTCTGATGGTACACACCTGTAACCCTGGCACTTAGGGAGATCGAGGCAGGAGGATCCAAAGTTCAAGCCCAGCTGGGTAACTTAATGTGACCTTGTCTTAAAATAAAAAATTAAATTTCTAAGATGACAATATGTAATCGATTAACTAGTGATTTCCTACTGTTTATTTTTTCTGAAATTCTGTATAACTTGTACCCTTTTTCTGTTTTTTTTTTCTTTTCTCCTTAAATAGAATTTTAAAAAATAAAATAAAAAATTAATTGGAGGCTGGGATGTAAATGCCCTGGGTTTAATCCCCAAAAACCCCGCAGCATACATGTACACACCAATGAACTGCTGAATCTAGTTAGATAAAGAGAGACAGACATATTTTTTGTTTATTTGTTTGTTTGTTTGTATTGTGAACTGAACTCAGAACTTGAGCTTGTTAGGTAGGTGCTTACGCCCCTGAGCAATATCCCCAGTCCCTAGTTGTATATACTTAAGGGACACTGAAAATTAAAGCATTTTCTTGTACAATATATAAAAGTTAGTACTTTGTAGGGCATGGCACTACACGCCTCTAGTCCCAGCACTCAGTTGGCTAAAGCAGAACTGTAAGTTCAAAGCCAGCCTGAGCTACCCGCAAGATCCTGACTCAAAAGCCAATACATAATTAAACAAATCAGTCAGTCAGTCAAGTGGGTCATGAATAAATATAGATCTCAAAGGGCATTTTACCTAATTCTGCATAGAATTTTTCTCTACTTTCAGCTAACAAGATACAATTCTAGCTCAAGAATTACTTTTTTTAGGAATTTCCTAATTAGATTTTTTAAGCCTTAGAGAGTAAGTCTTATAAATGCAATTTAGAAATATGTATGTGCTACTCTGAGGGAAGACAAGACTGAAAGTGATGTCTAAAATGCACTTAAAAAGTAAACATAAAATGCAAGTTCATTCTACAGTTTCTGTCTAAATACATTCATTACAATTCCTTGTAAAAGACTTATTTTTAAGTGCCAGTTAGCAACTTTAAACAGACACAAACTTCAAAAGGCATTAATGTAACTCATTTAAGTATTTATGCTTCCCACCTGCACAGGTCAGAACTGAATGTGTGCTTGGAGGCAGAGAAAATGTATGCTGGCCAGTCTTGGCTGTGGCCGCCGGAAATCCCAGCACTCAAGAGGCTGAGGCGGGTTCAAGGCCAGCCCAGATTACATAGTGCATTCAAGGTCAGCCTGAACTACATAGAAGACTGTCTCAAAATAAAAAAATAAAATAAAAAAGCCCAGGTGTGGTGGTACACACCTCTAATCCCAGCACTGGTGAAGCTGAGGCAGGAGGATCACCATGCCAGGCCAGCCTGGGCTACACAGTGGGTTCAACAAGAACTATACAACAAGATCCTGCCTCAAAAAACAAACAAAAAGAAAACACATTCTAAAATAAATTTCCATTGCCATAAGATTCCTGAAATGGCATTTTGAAAATTGAATTTTAAGCTGCATACAATTACCATCACTTTTGAAAATAATGGATTTAGCTGGGCATTTAGCTCAGCGACATAAGCACCTGCCTTGCAAGCAGGTGGTCATGAGTTCGATCCCCAGTACCGATAAAAAATAAAAATTAAAATTAAAAAATGGAATTAGAGAAATTCAAAGAAAAGTACTGTATTTCAAATCTTTTAAATAATGATAAAGAGACTCACAGAGATTTTTCTCAAGGCCACAGAGACTAGTTATAAAATCAGTACAAGAACTCAAGGTTCCTGACTTCATTTCATTCCATGCTTACTTGCTCCCACAGTTTCTTTTCCTGCTCTGGACTTAGATCTTCCACTTGAGAGTCTTCCTACCCAAAGTGTGAGCTGCAGTGGCTTAGATGGCTATAAAGTAAAAGCATCTGCCTGAGAACCAGCGCCACGTGTGGGCTGCTGCCGGAGTGGGGACAGCCAGACCCAAGGCTCTCTTCATGAGTCAGCGCCATTCTCAGACTGCAGAGAGAAAACCAGCCTCACAAGGAGGCGATCTCCGCCTAGAAACCAGCGCCAAGCTCGGGCCACTGTCCAAGCGGGGACAGCCAGACCCAAGTCTCTCTCTGTGAGTCAGCACCGTTGATGGATTACAGAGGGAGAGGACAAGGCTTCCCAAGGAAGTGATCCCTGCCCGGAAACCATACCATTTTCATTGTTTTGCTGGGATGGGTTTTATTCTCTTTTAATTGATTATGGTAAATCCGATGGCATGGATAGCTAGACATTATGGTAGCCATTTTGGATTTAGTATTGGCTGGTTTTGAAGTCCTCTATTACATTCATTGTTTTGTTTTGATTATTTCTCTTCTGTTCTGTTCAATTTTTACTATGTCCAAAGTTATCTGCAGTTATTGTGAAGAAAACAAAAGGCATTATGGTAACTACTGTTGATTTTGTAAGATTTTGAAGACCCGTATCACTTATATTGGTTTATTTTGATTGGTTTTATTGTTTTATTTTCCTTGGTTTTATCCTCTTTAAAATAAAAAAAAAAAAAGTAAAAGCATACCATTCATAGTGCTTCTACCCACCCACCCCGGGTATGGGGGTCGAACTCACAACCTCACACTTGCCAGGCAGGTGCTTATGCCACTGCCCTAAATCCTAGGCCCTGCTTCTGCCTTTCTATTAAGCCACTAATACTTATTTTTACTGAAACTCATACTCCACCAAATGAAGATAAATGGGATTTCCAAAGAAGAAACTCTTTAAAAATGCAAATTTAGTACCAATATGCTCATTATCAAACAGCGACATAAAGTAGTGGGTAGAAGGGCCAGAGATCCAGCTCAGAGGCACCAGTGCCTGCCTGGCAGGCTCAAGGTCCTGAGTTCAATTCCCAGTACCAAAAACACAAACTGGTCACACAAAGCAAAGCCACGCAGGTCTTTTTTAAAAGTGCTATTCTGAATAAAGTATTTAGTATTATTTCCATAAAGAAATATCACCCTTATAAACTCCCAGATTTAATGTAACAGAAAGGTTAGGATGCTCACTGTTCTCAATGTAAGATAACGCAAAGTATGTTTTTGATTATTTTAACGGTGTTAAACGAAACAACTATTTTTAACCTTCATATTTTGTACAACTTTTCCCTACTTACACTCACGAAAACTTGTTTTATTACAGTCTACTTTTTCTAACACTGGTCACATGGGAGATGAGAAGTTCAAAAACCAATGGCTAAAAATAAAGGCAAATTATAAAAGGAAGCCATTTATAAAGATTTCAGGCTTATATACCAAGTTAAACTGTTTATTATTTTAAACAACAAATAAATTGTGAGCTAAAGCAGAAAAGGATTAAGAAAAAATTTTTCTACTAAAGCATTAAAAGTTAGGGAGCAGGGATTAAAATAAAGGATGCAAGTTCACTTTTATAGTACAACAGAATACACAAGTTATAGCCAAGATAAGCTATACGAACAAAATCTAATAGCATTATTAAACAATAAGGAACATTTTAAACTTCTGAGAAGTGGAGGAAAAATAAAAATTAGTGGCATGCCGCTACTTACCGCAAGGGAAGACGTCTGGAGACAGGCGTTTTTAATTCTCGGTATTAGCGCATTTTTCATGGAGGGGTAGTCTATAAGATTTGCAAAGGTTGGAATGATGTTCAGACAGAGCTCCTATTAAAAAAGTAAAATGGATCAATCTCAGAGAGTCTCTCACCCTTTCACATATTCAAAAGCACTTTGTATTTACACAGCTAATTTGTAAAATAGTTTAAAATAGACTTCCACGCATGTTATATTTGGTCTTGTTTCACCAATTCTTTGAAAAACAAAGAGCTATAATCATTTTTCAGTTTTACAGATGAATGAATAGGTTCAGAAAATCTTATTTAAACTACGTCACAAAGTCAGACACGGTGGTATGGCACTTGGAAGAGGCTTTTGTAGGAGGCCCAGAAGTTTGAGGCTGGCTAATACTGCAAGACTCTGTTTCCAAAAAAAACACAACAGGCTCAAAAACAAAATAAGTTATCCTAGATCACAAAACTAGCACATGCTATTCAAAATGATCCTGGTAGCAATGCACAGGGGAAGGGACACTGAGAGAAATGGGAGCACAAATGTCTATCAGGGAAGGAACTGATGACACCAGGCCAGCTGGTAGCCATTCATTCACAGTAAGCAAAAGAATCAACTCTCAAGGTACTGGCATGTTATTTTATTCAGCTTATCCTGAAATATCCAAAAGGCAGATGTATCTACTCAGAACTATAAAAATTATATAAAAGATATAATTTATGGATAAGAAATACAAATTAAGGGCCAGGGATTTAGGTCAGCCTATAAGCACCTGCCTTGCAAGCATGTGGTCATGAGTTCAATCCCAGGTACCAAAAAAATCAAATCAAACCAAATCAAATCCATTATTCCAGGGACTTTTAAAAAAAAGAAAAAAGAAAAAAATACAAATTAAGCTAGGAATGGTGGCACAGGCCTGTAATCCCAGCAGTTGAGAGGCTAAGACAAGTGGATCTTTGCCAGCTCCAGGTCAGCCTGGGCTATATAGTGGATTCAAGGCCGTCCTGAACTGCATACTGCACAGCAAGATCCTGTGTCTAAAAACTAAAAACAAAACAAAAGACAAGACCAAAAAAAAAAAAAGTCACAAATAGCTGGGTATGGTGGTGCAAACCTATAGCCCTAGACTTGAGTTCAAACCTGGTTAACAGAAAAGAAAAAAAGAAAAGAAAAAGAAATACAAGCTACAGGCAAGGATAAGGCAAAATTAGTAATCTCATGCACTGATAGTAGAAATATAAATTGTTACAGGCATTATAGAAACCAATACAAAGTATCTTAAAAGAACTAGAACTAGAATTAAAATACAACTCAGCAGCAATCTCACTCTTGGACTTAAAGCCGAAGAAACAAATTAGTATGTTGAAGAGCTATCTTCAAGCACAAGTTCATTGCAGCACTATTCACAATAGCCAAGAAACAGAAACAACAAAGGTGCACATCAATGTATGAATGAAGAACACATGGGAGGCAGATATACACAGACATACACGAGGTCCTGCCATTTGCAGCAACACAGACAGAACCGGAGGATTTCATGACAAGTGAAATAAGGGAGGCATTCAAAGACCAATACGGCATGCTCCTACTTATATGTGGAAGCTAGCAAGCTGGTCGTACAGAAGAAATGAAATAGTGGTTACTAGGATTGAAGTAGAGGTGGCAACGGTTAGTGGGCACAGAGACGCAGCTGGGTAGGAAGAAAAACTCCAAAGGTAAAGAAGGGTAAGCTTGAGACACTTTTACGCAAATGGATGCACCTTGAGACCATACACTCGAGAGAAGTGAACTAAATTGGACACATACGTATACATGTCAATGGTTTCTCTGGTAGGAGAAACTGAAAAGTGCAAATAAGGACCAAAGTGGGGTTAAGATGTTCAAATGAGAAGGGGGAAGGGGGGAGAAGGAAAGAAGGGCCAAGGAAAAAGGAAAAACTGGAAACAAAGCTTTTGTAAATAAAGAGAAGGGAGGCTAAAGGGAAGGGAGGAAAATAGGAAAAAAGAAGCAAGATACACCATGCGCAGTTACAAATTCCCCGTGATGCATGTTACCATTATATACACAATGTACCAATAAAACAAAAAGAAAAAAAGAACACCGTCTAATGTTATATGGTTCAACAAGGTAACTATGGTTGACATCAACTTAACACTTCAAAATAGCTTGTATAGAAGATTCTGAATGTTACCATAAAGAAATGACCAAAGTCTAAAGTACCAATGTGCCAATTGCCCTGAGCTGATCATTATACACTGTGTAAATGGATGGGATGCGGCACTATGCCTCACAAGTCTGTGTCAAACAAAAATAAAAAACATGGAACATATTTTAAAACCACAAGCTATCATTAAGGGACCACTTTCCACAGATGAGAGAACCGGCCGTCGGGGAGACACTGGGCTCCTATTACCAAAGGGTCCTCCTCGAGGAAGATGAATCTTCCGGACAGAGATGGAGAAAAGCAAAGTGTTGGGCACGGTCACAGAGCTACAGTCTACCTAGTCTCCGCTTCCCTAGCGGACAGCTCTCTCCTTACAAGGCAGGATGAGGAATTTAACAACAGGAGATTGAAAGAGACAAAATAAAACCTCAAGAAGTCTAATCAGCAAATTCTAAGCAACTTCTGCCTATTTTTATACTTCTATTATTAGTGGTGCTGGTGGGGAGGGGGTAGTGAACACAGCTTCTGTTTAACAGGTAGGTAATTTCAAGATACTGTCAAATGTACATGTTTACATGCTGCTCCCTTTTACAAAACCATCTTCCACCTTTCTAAGCATTTTTCAGAACCACCTCTAGCATCTTAAATGTTTAGAATCAAACTTTACTTTTAAAATTTCAATTTAGGGCTGGGGATTTAGCTCAGCGGCATAAGCACCTGCCCGACAAGCACGAGATTGTGAGTTCGATCCCCAGTACCAAGAAAAATTAAATTAAATTAAATTAAATTAAATTTAGAGCCCAGTGGGGGGGGGGCACACGACTATTATCTGAACACTCTGGAGGCTAAGACAGAAAAACCACAAATCTGAGCCCAGCACAGGCAACCTGACCCCTTAGCAAGACCCTGTCTCAAAATACAGAAAGGTCTGAGGGTTTGGCTAGGTTCAATTCCTAGTCTTGCAATCATTAGTTAATTTAAAATTTCAACTTAGAAATGAATTTAAGAAGTTACATTTTAGTCTTCTATTTGCATGAAACTTAAGGAAAAGATTGTTTCCCACTTTTTCTAGGACTCTTAAAAATGTTCGGGTATGCTTTAACTTTATCAGACTCACCAGGTGACGACTGGAGACCAAGGATTTACACTGAATGAGATTAGAAATGCTAGTTTCTAAAACATAGCAAAGCTGCACCAGTCAATCTGAATTCTGCATTAACTTTTTAAATAAAATACTGGCTTGACACTTTTTGCTCAAACTCTGGGGGGAAAGGCCTTTCACATCACTCCATCTCCACTTTCTCCTTAATCGTACTGAACAGAAAACCAAGTTGGCTACACAGGAACTGTGGCAATATTTCAAGAGGTCTAATTACAACTCACAGGTAGAAATGAAAAGTAGGGTCAGTACTGCACATCTCCCCACTCACCCACAGCCTAATTAGAAGGGGAAAACCGACACCAACTTCACACTCTTCAATATACAGACAGAAATGAGTCAAAGAAATGGCCTAAACTATGTGACATTAGGCTCAAATTAAGAGAAAGAGTAAAGAAAAATCAGAATTTCTTTACCAACAAAAGACTAAATTTCTAAGCATGAAATCACTTGTGTGGTAAAATGCTCTTAACATAATTATTTTGCCAAGTGGCAGGGAGGGGGGGTCCCCACTAAACTAGTTCTAATAGCAATCCAGAAGAATGTTTTTCCAGAAAGAAAGTTCAATGCACCAGAGTTTAAACTACAGAACTAACAGTTTGGCAAAGTGTGTGCTATTTTAACGCCTCCTTTGTGGAACAAAAACAGAACTGTAAGAATAGGCACAGAAGCCGGGCATGATGGCGTACTCCTGCAATCCCAGCACTTGGGAGGCTGAGGCAGGCTGATTGTGGCAAGTTTGAGACCAGCCTGGGCTACAAAGTGAGTCCAAGGCCAGCCTGCACTGCATGGCAAAACTGTGTCTCGAAAAGACAAAAAAAAAAAAAGGCACCGTGGGCCAGGTAGAGCACTTGCCTATGTGCAAGGATATGGATTCAATCTCCCCCTGGGGACAGGGGGTCCCCATTAAATTTTTGTATTATTATCTATCTCCTTGCCTTACAAATTAACTTTACCACAGAGGAAACAGCATTTCTAAGTAGGAAAATGAATTACCAAGCATGAACTTTTCATAAGAAAAAGGTACATACAACTTCTATTCATATTTATCCATTTAGAAAGCAGAAAGGAATACAATCCCAACTACAGTCAATCAAACTTTCCTCCATGCTAGCACTTTTCTGATAAATAAAAGCAACAAGTCTCCTTCCTGATGCATGCATTTATCAACTGATTCTTTAGTTAAGCATGGATGTTTTAATAACTGTATCATTTAACGCAATTCAATAAATATTCTTGAGTTTCATACAAAACATTAAGTTTAAACCAACTAGGTTATTTAATTTCTTTCTTCTGCTTTAAAAATCAAAATCATTATCAAAGAAAAACAAATCAGTCTGCACCTGGATCTGAATGGAAGGCGCCTCTAGGGCTCTGTAAACCATGGGCAGGACACTATTCTTTATCTCATCGGGAGGGGTTCTGGTCAGCAGCAAATCCATTTTTTGTAGGAAAATTAACAAAATCTGTTTTGAAAAAGGAAAAACATGCATTAAGGCGTGGAATCTTTCAGAGATTTGATATGTGCTAAAATTTGAAGTTTTTTCCAAAGGAGTAAGTTATGTATTTTGACACTTACCATGTTGCTAGCCTGAAGGCGTGGAAAACAAAAACATACAAATCAAGTCTCTTACATTTCTGGAAGCATAATACTTATTATCTGCTCTCAGTTTAATTACTTAAATAAAGACTAATTTCCTCACTCTCACGTACCTGCAGTAATCATCACTCACCCACAAGAACCAACTATATGGAAAGCTACTGGGTAAAGAAAGAAAGAAAGAAAAGCTTGAGGGTAGCAAAGTCAGGTGTTCCAAAAAAGTAAATTGCATCACTTAGCTTTTACGAAGTTCAAGGTAAGAAGAGAGGATGAAGTTCCCCCGTGATGCTGACCCTCAGAGGGTTCAGGAGATGCTCCTGCTGGGAGTCCACAGCTCCACCTTGCTCCTTCCTGGATCCCTAGCAACTCTGACCACAGGCTATCTCCAGTCTCCCCTCTCAAGGGGAGGACTTCCAGGATCACACCCAGACAATGCACAGCTGACTGACAAGCTGTTGCCCTACTCTGTGCCAGAAATTTTCATGTCATCTCAACAACTCTTTTCACTTTGGAAATGAGGAAATGAAAGCTTTAAGACAGTAATGATGAATCCAAATCTACCAAGATAAAGCAGGCCAAATTCAAATCCAGGCATGTCACCTCTCTTTAAATCAAAAGGATCTTCAATCTGGCAAACACATATTATAATAGAGTCCATATGAAAAAGCCACTTTTTTCCATTTAGAATATATGCACATTATTTCCAAAGTGCTCTAAGCATTTTCCTCTTCTACTGAAAGTATTTATTTATTGAGAGAGAGAGAACCAGCACAAATCAACTACAAACTAAAGACTGGAATAACAAATCAAACAAAAGTATTTAAAAGTTCCAGAGAAAAATCAGTATTTCTTTTCCCAAACATACAACTTTCAATAAAGTCAAGTGAGAGCAGCAAAACATATGCAAAATATTACTGCAATTTATTTGTAGCTTATAGAGAGCCAAAGACAGTACCTTTGCTAAAATGAAAAGTTTAATTTTAACTTTAGGAATGGCTCAAATATATGCAAAATAGCTTTCTAGTTAATAAAAAGGTCTCTTACACTTACCTGAACTTTTAAAAAATCATTATTCATTTATTTTGGTTTCTGTGGTAGTCACTTGTAACACAAGATAAGTATGAAAAAAATATCTAAAACATACCTGGATTGGCTCCTGCTGTTTAAATACAGGGCCAAGTTCAGGTAGAATTAATTTGACGTACTCTTCTTTGGTGCATTCCTCAGCAATCAATAAAACATTGGGCAAAACAAAAGGTACCATGTCAGGGTTTACAAATTCTGAAGTCAAACAAGGCAAAATTCTCTGCACGATGACACGCTGAAAGGCAAAAATATTTTTATAGAACCAAATTTCTGGGCCAGGGATTTAGCTCAGTGGTATAAGCACCAACCTGGCAAGTGCAAGGTCATGAGTTTGATCCTCAGTACCAAATACAAAACAAAAAAAAACAACCAAGTTTCTTGTAGGTCTTTAGAATTAACACTGAAGTATAAAGTGTCCAATTCCTCTAGGTAAGGTAACTCTATAATTTACATAAATATTAGTATACCTTTTAGAGAAAAATGGGATGCCACTGCTAACTATGTCAAGACAAACAACTAAGTTGGGAATGTCATGGGTAAAGGCGGATATATGGTCCCAGTTTTAGGAAACCTTCCCTAATTAAGTCTTCACTGAAACAGCTCTTCTAATACATTACAGTTCATATTACAATTTAAACACTGTCTTATATTGTTAATTGTTGTGAGACAGGGTCCCTTCCTCTTTACTCTTTATATGTGGAGACTTTTTTGGTAAATGGATGCAATTCGAGACCATACTCATAAGTAAATCAGATCCATAGGTGTAAACATCATAATTGTCTCACTGATGTGAGAAACTGAACAAGTAAATAAGATCCAAAATGTTCAACAGATACTGTGAATTACGAAGAAACTGTCCAAAAGAAAAGACAAACTGTAGTGAGGGAAAGAAGAAAAGAGGGAAAAAGAAAACTACATATACATACACAAGACAGTTAAGCCACTTATTTATACAACTAGTTCTCTTAGTTCACTGAAAAGAAACATTTGTGTTAATAATTGTCTGGTCACGATATCACACCTAAATCTTGTATACTGAATAACTACTACAAAGACCATAATACACAATGTATTATTTTAACTCTCCTACTAGCCTGTTCTGAAATCGTTTTACTGTTATTTTTTCTCTTTAAAAAAAAAAAACAGTAGGCAACCAATGGCTATCTGATAAACACTGGGAACTTACTGCAACCAGGAAATATTTTTACAACCAATGCTATCTTTAGCATTCATCAACATTTTTTAGGCTGCTCTACACACACGATTTAGTAAGTAAGTCAGAAGAGAGCCAAAGGACATCAATATAGAGAAGTGTCTCCTTGCATCTGGTGAGACAGTCATCTCCATAACAACAGTTCATAAATTTCTCTCTTAACATTTAATGTCTAACTGCTGCCTTGACGCAAGTAACATCCTTCTAATTTTTTTTTCTATTTATTTTGGATCATAACAAAACTTTTGGCTTTAGTCTGTAGCCTTTTATAGTCATTTAGGTACCTAAGGCAAAAGTTACTTCATTTCCTTGGAAGAGTTATTACAGTAAGTCAAAGTAAACTTTAAATTTAAAATACTGACCACAGAAGAAACTGATCAACAACAAACCTTAGGCAGTTTTGGCAGAACCTTTGGCAGTCCTTTGAAAAACTGTGATTTCTGAAGATTATCTCTTTGGAATAAGCTATCAAAATATTGAAGTGTGACTGCACCAACATCATCAAAGAAAGGAATCTAAAAATAAGCAAATAAATTATTAGCATTAAGTTGAAAGTACATCTCATATCTGAAACTACCATAATATGTGAAAAGGTATTCAGAAACATTTAGCAGAATGAAGAACAGAATTGAGCCAGGGATTTAGCTCGGCAGCTCAAGCGCCTGCCTAGCAAGCACAAGGTTACGAATTTGATCCCCTGTACCAAACAAAACAAGAGGAGAATTATTAAAACTATCGTTATAAATATTATAATTTTTTTTTTGTCTTTTTCATTTTTATCGGTACCAGGGTTGAACTCACAACTGCCTGCTTGCAAGGGAGGCGCTTATGCCGCTGAGCTAAATCCCCAGCAAATATTATAATTACTAAAAATAGGAAAATAAATGATTTTTCTTTTCAATTTCAAATATTCAGAATTACTACCTGTGAGCTAGATGGGCAATAACCTTTTAACTCAGAAAGATTAAAATATTAAGTAAAGTATCTTGAATGCATAAAGAGCAGTAGTTATTTAGTATGTTTATCTGTGTTTAAGTGAGTGCTGAGAGTTCAGAATGTCTACATAACTAATTAGGGTTCTTAGCACTGTTTATCTGAAATTTTTCTATCATGGCACATAAATTAGCTGTTGAAGAGTAAAAGAAGTTATATACTTAATATACTTCAGAACAGATGCTATGGACTAAATATGACTAAAATCTTGGTTTAAAAGAACTTAATCAGGGGGCTGGGAATTTAGCTCAACAGCATAAGTGCTTGCCTTGCAAGCAGGCAGTCATGAGTTCGATCTCCGGTACCGATAAAAAGCAAAAAGACCAAAAAAAAGAAACTTAAAAAAAAAAAGAACTTAATCTACTTTAATCCCTTTCTCTCCCTTTTTTGGTCCTGTCGGCTACTGCAGAAACCCATGTGGACTCACCTTTGTCATCTGATCCGCATCTGGTCTCACAGCTGGGGTTACATTTAACAGTAGTTTCACATGTTCACGGACTTCCTCAGGTATACTGGTAAGTGAACTAGATCCTAAACGACTCAACTATTCAAAAGAATAACAACATTAAACAGGAATATAAAATACTCTAAAAGATACATGTTTATATTAGTAGTCTATAATAGTGTACACTGAACAAAAAGCTGTTTTATTTGAAGGTATCTTTAATACATACCTGAAATTGTTCCCAATCCTAAACAAAATGTCCAGCATTTTAGACTATCTTTCAGTATTCAAAGTAGTAAACGGTATGACTAAAGTTATAGTAACAAACATAAACTAGTGGTTCATTATAGAAATTATTTGTATTAATGTAATGCAAAGTGGAAATTCATACAAAATGGAAATGAAGCACTAATCTAAGAATTTTCTGACTGCATTTTAGAAAACAAAGAAATTTTAACACACGTAAATGTAAATAAGCAAATACCTGATCCAATTGCCTACTGAAACTTTTATATATATCTTGCTTGTTGACTTCAAATATAGGTTTCCCTTTATTAAATACAGCATACATAACAGTTCCCAAAGAATACATATCACTGGCTGTTTCACAGCTGACAGAAAGTATGTATTCAGGAGCCAAATACTCAGGATTTGGAAGACATAATGATGGTAAATTTGGGTCCCATTCTTTACAAGGAAACTTAGGCTGTAATAAGACAGAAAAGAGGTAAATTAGCAGGATATATTATAGTAACTTTTTTTGATTTCCTATTAACTTGATTTGAAGTCCTGTAATACTCCCACTATCTTGTTTTGACTGATTAGACTCTGTTCCGTTCTGTATGATAGTATCAAGTTTGAGGGTACAGGCAACTACTTTGAAGGCAATAAGATTCACTAAGATGCCCATTCTGGTTTGACTATTGTCTCCTTTGGAAGTCCTGTAATGTTTACAATGCTTAATTTTATTGTTCTTGTTCTCTACTGTTTTGTTCAACTTTATAATACCTAATGAGATAGACAATTCTTTTTAAGGAAGCAAGAGGCATTATGGTAACCATTGTTGATAACCTTGTACTCTGTTTTTACGCCAGGTACTATGTCTATCCTTGGTTTTGACTGACAGCTTTGTTTTGCCATATTTGACTTTATTCTCTTCCAAAAAAAAAAAAAAAAGTATTAAGAACTAAGGAGTAATAAAACCCAAAATGTGTAAATTTTGTTGTAAAAAAGAGAGGGAAAAAAAGTGCTCTAAAGGATACAACTGCAAGTGTGTTTAGGGGTGTTAAATAGCTGACCATATTAATGTTTTTGGTTGGATCATTGAACACAACTGTTTGCAGTCTCTCTGTTTGAATGTCCACTTTGTATGCTTTGATACTGTGACTTGATCAACTATCTCTAAGATGATAATGTGTAATCTATTAGCTGGTGATTTCTTACTGGTTTTTTTTTTTTTTTTTTTTTTTGGTAGTTCTGTATTACTTGTACCCTTACACCACTTTGTTTTGTTTTGTTTTTTCTCTTTTTCCTTTTAAATAAAATTTTAAAAAAAGAAAAAAAAAGAGGTAACATAGATTCAGTATCTCAATCAACGCAAACCATTATCAAACCACAGCAATCTATCTCTAAATTTGTACTAAGTCACACAAGTAAAAATGCCACTATCACTTTCAATTCTCAAATCTCCAAACCCACAAGTCTGGAATACAAATGTAATAAATTGAGAGATTAAAAACTCGCATGTTTCTGAGGTCTCTGAAGTCTCTTCCAGAAAACAAAGTATCACTGCACAGTACAACCAGGCAAAGGTCAGTTCATGTTTTATGGCACATAGGTTTTCAGGCTTTCTGGACTTGCCAGAGACTTTGCTGTAAAGCCTTAATCTTCCCCTCACTATGTGATCTAGTGAACAAGGTCCATCTTCACGGGGCTGCAATTCATACTCTTGCTGCCAGGCTTTCCCGCTGGTGGTACATGCATGACTATCCCATCAGGTGGCATTTCATTAATTTTACTAGTGGAAGACTAGTAAGAGTGACTGGATCTGTTTACACCACCAGTAGTACAAGCTGCCCAATGGGGCAGTCATGTATGTACCGCGTGGGTGGTTTGAGCCAGCAGGAGCACGCTAAACAAATGGATGAAAGTCAGAACTCGCACAGTGCCAGATTTATAATACACCATGCCAGTACTCATTCTTCCTGAATCCCTTAATCCCAGCGTGCTGGGAAACTGAGGCAGGAGGATTTCAAGTTCCAGCCAAACCTGGACAACTCAGTGAGACCCTGTCTTGAAATATAACACAAAAAGGGTTGGGATATAGTTCAGTATGAGAACTGTGGGTTCAATCTTCAGTACACGGTCAAGAGAAGTTGTTTATATTACAAATCCATTTTAGGGCAAATTATGGTGCCTTTAAAATCAACATATAGCTGGGCAAGGTGGCACAGGCCTATGGTTCTGGCACTTGGGAGGTTGAAGCAGGAGGATCACTGCAAATTTGAGACTAACCTGGGCTACAGAGTAAGCCCAAGACCAGCCTGAACTGCACAGCAAGACCTTGTCTCAAAAAGACAAAACACAAATCAAATCAACATCTAGGGGCTGGGGATTTAGCTCAGCGGCATAAGCACCTGCCTTGCAAGCAGGCGGTCGTGAGTTCGATCTCTGGTACCAGTAAAAATGAAAAAGACCAAAAAAAAAAAAAAAAAAAAAACCAAAATCAAATCAACATCTAATAAACATCTGAAAAATAACAGGTGCCATTTATCAAAAGGCCTTCTTCTACCATTTAATAAGTATTAAATTCAGTCTGAGGATATGTTGCTAAGAATTCACAATGAGAATATTTGGCCTTCTGAGAGAAAGAAAACCTATTTAATACAATAGTTATCAAGTTTATTTAACTCTGACATCTTTTTCTCAAGTAATACTAACTTCTATGGAATTGATGATCTCAAGAGTACTTTTAGGTATAACGACCACTAGAAACGTCCTAATGCACCAGACAGTCCACTTGTATACTTTCATCAGGGTTATGCTAAATCCTCTAGTCCATTTCAGCTGTAATCACAAATGTCCATGGCTTTAAAAACCTGAAAGATGAAAATTTTACCTCTTGTTCAGAAGGATTGGTTGATGACACACAGAAATCAAAACCCATTATTTTCCAGGCTCCACTTTTATTCAAGATTATATTTTCTGGAGTAATATTTCCATGAACCATTTTCACACTGCTGTGCAAAAATGACAATCCTTCTGAAACCTGTAAGTGTAAAAAGTTATTTTAAATAAAATTCCTTTCAACTGCAACAATAAAATGTCTCATAAAAATTTAGCTACTGCTGGTTTTTCCAGTAAGTTTTGTAGACCAACTAGCAGTTAAATTTTATCACAAATACAGAAGTGTAGATATTCTCAATTGCCAGGACAATCTGAGCATTAGTGGGAAGAACTCCATTATAGAACCAAAGACTGCCTGGCAAGTGCAAAGTTGTGAGTTTGATTCCTGGTAAAAAACACACACACCACACACACAGAGGGGGAGATGGGGGGGGTGGGGGGAGAGAGAGAGAGAGAGAACTGTTGTATCTATTAAGCTTCTTCCTATATACAAATAAGAAGGAGGAAAGAGAAAAGCACTCCTTGCTACTTGTATTCAGTTCCAGAGTTTGAAAAGTGAGGGAATTTTTGATTGTTGAGTTATAGAGAATATTGAGATTTTCACATACTTACATTTCACAATGAAATTCAGTTTTTCTGAATAGGACCATCTCAGTGTCCAAATATTCAACTGATGTCCATTCCCTCTCATGCTGGATTAATACTTGCTAAGATAGGGGTGTGCCTGAGATCACCATGGAGGAAGCTCAGACTCCTTTCCGGGAAGGGCCTTTTGGCCACAGCCCTGACCTCAGGACACACTGTTCCTGGTTTTCCTTGAACTCACTGGACCCTGTTATTCAGTCTGTTTCGCTGGTTCCTCCTCAATTCCCCAAACTCCTGGACACAATGCAACACCTAGACCACAGCAATCTACACCCGCCTCCTCAGTACCGTCTCCCCCTCCCTGCTGTCATTTCACCTACCCGGTGACTGTTCCCAGGCTCCAGCCTGCACCTCTGTTCTGAACTCCAGACCTGACTCTCTGACCCCTCTCCTTGAATTTCTTTTTTTTTTTTTTTTTTTTTTTTTTTTTTTGTCTTTTTCCTTTTTATCGGTACCGGGGATCAAACTCACGACTGCCTGCTTGCAAGGCAGGCGCTTATGCCGTTGAGCTAAATCCCCAGCCCCCTCCTTTAATTTCTTAAAGCATCACAATCTCAGAGGGACCCATGGTTCCTCACCAGTGTTCCTGTATCAGTTAGTGATCATTTTATTTTTCTGGTTGCTTAGGGCAAAAACCTTTGAGTTACTCTATGTCTCCTTTTCCTCATTTAGCAAAGCCTTTTCCCATTACCGTGAGCACACACTTAGGAGAACATGACGCGATCCACTCTTCCCACCTCCGCGACCCTGGTCCGTCATTATTTCCAGCCAGGGTCACCGCAGCAGCCAGCTACCTCTTCTTGCTTCTGCTCCTGCCCTTTTACCCACAGTTTAGTGAACAGCCGGCGTAACCTGTCTGACCTGACTCAGATGGGTTCTTCCTGCTCAAACCTCCTACAGGCTTCCCCATTGCGAGTGAAGCCCAAATTCCTCTGGTTCCCAGGTCCTGCTCCCTGCTGTTGCTTCCTGCACCACTTCCTGCTTCCTCCTCCCTAGCACAGCACGCATGTCACTATTCCCAGCCATCACGCTCGATCCTGGCTTAGAAATCTTGTACTTGTGGTTTTCTCTACGCACATCATTCTTTCCTCAAGGTTATCAAGATCCTTTGAATTTTCAAGGTTTTTTTCTCAAATGTCTCCTTTCCAGTGATATGTTCCTGACTACTCTATTCAAAAGTGTAAGTCCTCTTTCTCTCATCCAAACCACTCCTCTTCCCCCTTCATTTTTTTCTTCACATCATTTATCAAAACCTGATTTACTGCCTTTTGTCTTTCCCACAAGATTATGAGTTTCCAAAATGCAGAATTTTATTGCTTTGTTCACTGTTATATCTTCAGCACTTAGAACTATGCCAAACTTAAGCTGTCTACTGTTAAACTTTCAACATCGGGACTGGGGATTTAGCTCAGCAGCATAAGCGCCTGCCTTGCAAGCAGGCAGTCGTGAGTTCGATCCCCAGTACCGATAAAAACTTAAAAAAAAAAATTTCAACATCGAGGCAAGTCAGCAGGTTAAGAGTGCAAAAAGTACTACATAGTCTCAAAAATGCCTGGGTTCCTGCCCTCACTTTGTTACTTACTAGCTTTGCAACTTGAGGTGACTGCTTTGCACAGGTCACAGTTGACACTGTGTTTTGAATTGTGGTATAACAACTTCTTCTTGCTGTTTTTGAGACATCTCACTACATAATCCAGGTTGCTCTCATACTTATAGTTCAAGCTACCTTTGAACTTGTGATCCTCCTGACTCAACCTTTCGAGTGCTAGGGTTACAGATGTCTGCCACCAAACCCAGTGGGAAAAACACTAAGTTTACCTAGTATGTGTTTCAGGCTCTTGATTTGGTAATGTTTTTATGTAATTATCTTAATCTCTGGAACTATATTATAGTTCAGAAAAAGTTCAAATGCTTACTACAAAGCTACAGTCGGGGCTGGGGATTTAGCTCAGTGGCATAAGCGCCTTCCTTGCTAGTGTGCGGTCATGAGTTCAATCCCTGGTACCGATAAAAACGAAAAAGACAAAAAAAAGCTACAGTATCCAAACAGGCTGCTACTAGCACAGAGACAGACCTAGAAACCATCGGGACAGAATCAGGGTATCAGAATCACATTCTCATATGTATGATAAAATGATTCTTGACAAGAGCACAGAAACCATTCAGTGTTGTAATCCCAGCACTTGGAGGCTAAGGCAGGAGGATCACTGAGTTCGAAGCCAGCCTAGGCTACACAGTAAATTCAAGCCAGCCTGGACTACACAGTGAGTGAGCCCTTATCTCAAAATTTAGTTCATTATTAATTATAGCAAAGGACAGATTTTTCAACAAATGGGCCTGGAAAAAACTGAAATCCACTTATGAAAAAATGAAGCTGGACCTTTCTCCCATTTATAAACATTAACTCAGGGCAGCAGAGCGCATGTGCAGCATATGCAAAGCCCTTGGTTCAAACCCAAGCACAAAAGAAACGGGGTAATCCAGAGGACAGGCTGAGTTGTTAGCATCTGGGGTACCAAAATACTTTAATGCTTTTAACTGTTTTACTGATTTTGCAGGATTCAGGCCAGTAGTCTGAGCATCTATTACAAGGACAACATTATGAAATATAACAAACATAGGGGATTTCCCACTGTCTTGTTTTTGAAATCCAATATTGTTCTGTTTTGTTCCATTTTATTGTTTTGTTATATTCAATGTTCTGTTTTGATTTTGTGGTTTGTTTTGATTTTATTATCTCTGATGATATAAGCAGCAATTGTGAAGATAACAAGAGGCATCATGGTAGCCATTGTTGATTTCCTATTATCTTATTTTCAAATCTTGTATCACTTTCACTGTTTTATTTTGACTACACTTTTATTTTGATTACACTTTATTTTGTTTGGTTTTATTCTCTTTAAAATATGCTTTCATTTTTTTCTTTTATTGGTTTTATTGTTTAATTTTGTTTGATTTTATTAAGTCTGATATGGACAGCTACTCTGAAGAAAAAGAGACATGGTGGCCATTGTTGATTTCCTATTATCTTGTTTTAAAGTTTTGTATCACTTTCACTGTTCTGTTCTGATTAGTTTTATTGTTTTGTCTTTAAAATTTTTAAAAAAAATTTTTTTTTAAGTAAAAATAAGTGAAAAAAAAGAGGAGGGGAGACACAGTGGATCAAAGACCTAACCTAACCAAGATCTGAAAACCATAAAATTCTTGGAAGAAAAATACAGGAAAAGCTTCATGATATTTCATCTGGCAATGGCTTCTGAGACATCACAGGTAATAAATAGAAAAGTACATGAAAGACTGTACCAAAATAAAATTTCTTTGCTTTGCAGAAAACAATCAACAGAATGAAAAGGCAACTCACAGACTGGGAGAAAACCATATATTTGATACATGGTTGGTATCGAGAATAAAGAATCTTATGATTCAACAATAACAAAACAAAATAAACAAATTTACTCAAAAGTGGACAAAGGACTTAATGGTCAGCTGTATCTCCACAACACCCAATAAGCACATAAAAAGATATTCAAAGTCACTAATTATTAAGGAAATGCAAATCAAAACCACATTTAGCTATCATCTCAGACCCAGCATTTAACATTTTCGGAATTTGTTAACCTTAGACATCAGAAAATAGTAATTTAGCCAGGCATTATGGTGCGTGCCTGTAATCCCAGCACTCAGGAGGCTTTGCCAGGAAGATGGCTACACGTTTAAGGCCAGCCTGGGCTACAAAGTGAGTTTAAGGACAGCCTGCAACTGCATAGTGAAACCTTGTCTCAAAAAGACCAAAAAAAGAAAAGCAATTAATTTTTTAAAAGTTAAGTCAGGATTCCATTTTTTTAAATTCTAGAAACTTCAAATTGATCCACAGCAAAAGAAAGCAGGTCAGCGATTTTCTAGGACAAGAAAATGGAGAAACAGGAACAGGAGAGAAAAGCTATAAGGAACACAAAAAAGGTTTAAGGGTAATAGATATGTGTATTATCTTAATTTTAATAATAAGTCTTAGAGGTATGTCAAACTTGAAAGACTGTATGTTTTGTCTTTATGCAGCTTACTATATGCCAATTATGTATTAATAACGCTGTTAAAAAATAAAACGATGCAAGGAAATCAAAATCTACTGTATAAATCTGTCCATGGAGCAGAAGATTATTTTGGTAAGCAGAGAAAGGAAAATCTGAAAGAGCAGCCTTAAATAAAGGACAACAGTATCTTCTGATATGTATTAAATTCCTTGCAAGTGTCCTATGTATTTTATCTTATTTATTAAATACTTGTTTCTTTCTTTTTTTGAGACAGGGTCTGTAATTCAGGCTGGCCCTGGACTCACTCTGTAGCCCATGCTGGCCTCAAACTCAAGTCAAACTCAATCCTCCTGCCTCAGCCTCATGCATGCTGTGGTATCAAGGGTGAGGCATCACAACTGGCCCTAAATACTTCTTTATTTCAATTTAATGTTTTCTTTATAAAAGTAATTTGCATAGTTTAAAATTCAAAAAGAACGCCCATCCCATCTACCAGCCAATAAGTGTTCTTCAAAGGTTGCCAATGTTACCAATTTAATATACTTAAAAATACAAACCAAATTTGTATTTTAAATGCAAATTTAAATTTAAAAAAAACTTCAAAACCAAAATTCTAGGAAACAGAAATTTTTCAAACAGGCAAGAACCAAAGGTTTACATAAACTAGTTCACATAGAAAAGTTTGAAATAGCCAGAAAAAAAAAATTTAGAAGAAAATTATTTTTTTATATATTAAATAAAAATACATACCTGAAGCAAACCATATTTGGTTTCTACATCATAAAGTTTATAATCCTTAATGTCTGGAGATATAGCAGAAGGTAGATTTTCCCAGTTACCAAGAACGTTGGCTAAACTCGCAAAAACTGGTTCTGTACAAAATGCCAAGCAATCCCTGTTTCAAAACAGTAAGTCATTATTGTCACTTTTACATATAATTGAAATCAAATACACATAAACTATCCAGAGGTCCTATTAGACCATTAGTAAGGCAAATTTTAAATTTGTAAATTTCAGCATAATGCACTTCAAGTAACAGTCAAGAGTGTAAGAATCATAATAAATTGTACAATCTTTTTAAACCAAGTATTGTCACAGTTTTTATAAACTTTTTAAAACTTAAATCAGGATATAAAATATTTCAACTGAACTTTCTCAAATGACTGATATTCTCTATGTGAAACCAATAAGTTGGTATAAAATATTGTTAAAATTATACCTTTGATGTCCTTCCTTCTGAGGCTTTAATTTTCAGAATATGTTCAAAGGAGCGTGCAGATTTCCTACAGATGCCTCATGAGAAATAAGAAGCAAAGAAAATATCTCTATAGTCCTCAACTCCTGCATCAATCAGAGCATCCTTACTTTTATCTATCATTTTGAAAGTTGTAATACTTTTAATGTCTTTAAATCACTGCAGTTCAATGTATAAGATTAACAAATTCAGAAAATGTTAAGATACTGACATTCAATAGACATATACAGTACTGATGGAGAGCTCAGGCTCTGAAGACAGATAAATGTCTCACTTCTAGTCCCAGCTGCTGGACACTGTATCTCTAAGCCTCACTTTGCCCATCTGTAAAAGCTGCCAACAGATGAACCTGGAAGGGTTACTGTGAATATCAAAGTGGATAATCACGTGAAGTACACAGCAAAGTATCTAGTATGCATGTTCAGTAAATGTTTTCTCTTGCTGTATTACCAGCATTTATACCTCAAGCTCTAACATTTTAGGTCTGGCACTAGGCCAAACCAAGTTTCTTGCAGGAATAATAACCATTTAATGGTAAGTATTCTCTTTGTTATTTCATGAATCTGGAATGCTTTAATAAGTTTTTCTCTGCCTTGACCCCATTTTTCAAATGAGAGCATACAGAGAAGCCTGATGTGTATAAGAAACAGATAGCACTGCTTAGGTTAGGCTGAAGGAGGAAAAGGAACATCCTGTCCTCCACAGGCCTCTACCTTGTTCAGTCCTCCCAGCATCAGTTCACTAGCACAGTGATAACTAGGTATTCTTTCCCTAAACTGTACTGAAGGAAAAGTTGCTCAAATAACTCTTCCCCAGGACGCATGTATTTTAGCGGCTCTCACTCTGTTCCACTCTATCTCGACCCAAAAACCTTTGGTCACACTGAAATCCACACATTATGCTTCAAATGAATCTCTTCCTTAACTGCAGTCATACAGCAGAAGGGCTACATCCTTTCACAGACCACCAACGTGAATCACAGCTTCCTGTCTTTCCCCCAAACTACCTCGACAGTAAGGAGTTACTATCCTTTACTAGGTAGAAGACCACCACAGGTTTCTTTCACTGTCACAATCTATATATACTCTTGTGTCTTTATTTTTCAACATTCAAGAACATTTATTCATGGTCCTCTTATTTAACTCCTTATGCCACAGCCCCCTGTACCCAGTGGTTACCAGTAGCCACTGTCAGCATGAATGAATGATCTCACTTGTGCTAGAATTCATCTCAGCGTTGACTGACTCTCCAACCATCCTTCAGTTCCTCCTAAGGGACTTTACTCATGTCTTTCCTGCTTGCCCTCCACATCTCTGCACCTCAGATTGTCATCCTACTAAGATTATCCAACATCACTGACTACATCTCACTTGCCCAGTGTGATGGCTTCTTCTTGGCCCCTATTTCCTTCTTATTCTGTGGTCCCGTGTTGGTCGGTCCCTTCCTAGCTCCTCTGGCTTTCATGACATGCTGCCAGGTTTTCAACCACCACATGACAAGGCTCTCTCCTTTTGCCTGGCCTGCTTTTTCCCCTGCTATGTTTTAATGTTCTTTCTTCAGTGTGCTGTTTCTTTCACTCTTTAAAAATTCATTTTTATTCTTGATTTCAATTATAGCCTCTATGTTATACCAATATATATTACCAACTCTGAAATTTCATTTATTCTTTCAGATTTCCATAGAAATCAAGTTATTTTCCCTTTCCTAAAGTGTGCAGATTTACTGTATATTAATGCTGTTATAATGTTTACAATCTACAAATTAAAAATTCATAATCTGAATTGCCTTGTTTCTGATCACCAATAAACTCCCAGTTCTATGATGTTTAAATCACTATAAAAGAAGCTGCAGGAACAGAGAAAAGTATAACATTTTGGCTCTTCTCCCCTTAAAGTTTAAATGCAATTATGAGGTATGAGACGCACAAGTTTAAGTTACAATAACAGGGGTATTTTTACAATAAGAGACAAAACTTATTTCTGAGCAAGCAGAACCAGCGTGGTACCGTTAAGGAAAAAAAGAAAAAAGATTGGCTCAGTGATCAGGCTGATGAGGACCCCCAGTTTGCCACTTAATACCATACAGTTCTTTTCTACCGTATGTAACTCTGAGACTTAAATGAGCTAGATAATACAAAGCATTTAGTTTCTCACATGGTAAATGTTCTTTTTTTTTTTTTTTTTTTTTTTTTTTTTGCTTTTAGGTTGATAAAAAGGAGGGAGGGGGGATTACTAAAGATTCCAATATAAGAATTTTTCAGAAATCCAAAATATAAAATAGATACAGCAAAGCTATCCTGGCTGAAAGGAAGTGGGAAACATGGAATCCTGCCAACATGTCCTCCCATCACCTGCTCCTCCTCACCATTAAAATTCTAGGAACCACAGAACACACAGGGCAAACCACTTCATTAAGATCTTCCAAAACTGAGAGGGAAAAACAATCTGCTAAGAAGAAGAAATAAATCGGATGTTATAAATAATGCGAAAAAAATGTTTACAAAGCCATGAAAGTACCATAAGCCTGACAGTCTGGTCAAAAGTACATCAATTTCACTTTCTGGTCATTCTCGGCAACATTTCCCAAGCTCATCTTTAGGAAAAAATACATGGCAAACTAACTGAGGGTTGTGGACTGACATGCTGGGTAGAATAGGCTAAAATTGGCTAAGAGAGCCCCTGCTACACACATAAAACCGGTCCTCCAATAATGAATCAATAAATGAAGAGACAAGAAATTCTGAAAATTAGCAAAGACAGCTACTTTCAGGTAGCAACTGCACTCCATCCTTCTCTTGCGTCTTCCACTGTGACTGCTCACTCTACTGCTGACACGGGCAGGCAGGCACTTAAACACAGATGCATGAAAAATTAAAGAACGTCTTCATAGTATTTCCAAAGCAACACACACGTGGACAATGCAAATAAATTTTAGGGAAATTATCCACTAGAACTCACCTCTTAATTCTTAAGAATTTTTCACTGATGATATTTGAAATGGCCTTCAAATGTACAGTTACTTTTCTTTGGCCTTCAAATGTACAGTTACTTTTCTTAGATTTCTATAAAAATTTACCTTGATTCTTCTAAAGGGTGTTGCACAGTAAGAAGTCGAGGGTGTCGTAGGCGAGTTAGCTGCTGGACTCCTCGTTTTAGAGAATCGATGATTTGATCTTTTTCAAATTTTTGGTATTTGTCAATCAGCTTTTTATCAAAGACAAAAACAGCCACTTCCTGACAAAAGAAATGTCACTTATTTTAAAATTTGTAAAAGCAATAAAATTTTTATTTGCATGTCCCAACGGTCTATAGACAACTGAAAAGTAATGTCACAGAAATTTTATCACCATTGTAATGTTCTTCTGATCAAAAAGTTGATTTTCTTATAACTAGTAAATCTCAATATTTTTAAAGACACAAGACCTAGTATCTTCATCTAAAAGGAACATAGAACAATCCTCCCACCTTTGAGTTCGGATATCCAACATACACACAAACTGGGTATTATACTTTCTCTTATGTAACAATCTCTTATTTAACCAAAATTAAAAACAATAATGAAAAAGTGAAAGAGTAATAAAATCCGAAATGTATAATATTATAATAATGAAAGGGAAAGAAAGTGCTCTAAAGGATATATAACTCTATGTATGTTCAAGTGTGCAAAATAGATAACCATACTACTGTTTTTGTTAGTTTAAACAGAATAGTTTGTACTATCATTGACTGTCCACTTTTTATGCTTTGATTTTGTAACTTAAATAACTACTTCTAAGATAACAATATGTAATTTATCAACTAGTGATTTCTTACTGTTAATTTTTTTTGAAATTCTATATTACTTTTACCGTTTTTTGGTTTTTTTTTTCTCTAAATGAAAAAATAAAATAAAATTACAAAGTATTTAAAAGGTAAACAGTATGTACTGCAAATGTACAAAAAAGGGGAGAAGAAAGGGGAGAGGGCAGGGGATGAAACAAGGCATTCAGATGAGTTGTGTCTATGTGCCAGCTCCACACAAGGAATGTGGTCATTATATACCACATATATACACTAATACACTAAAATAATTTTTAAAAATTTAAAGTCACAATGGTGTTTCATAATATATGCTGTTTCATAGTATATTCAATTTTGAATATACTACAGAATTGTGGAAAGCCTTTGAAAAATAGGTTGTTATGTCAAGGAATGCTCCTTTACACTAAAACCTAATTCCTAAGCAGCTTTTACATATGAATAATCTATTTTCACCCTAAATGCTACCTTCTTGTAAGAAGTCACTGAATGGCTACTGGTATGGGAAGGTTTCCCCACCTACTTCACTTGGAAATTAGTTACAGATTATTTTATACTATTAGAAGCATACACTCTCTTTGCCATTTTATTCTTTTTATTCTCCATTACCCCAGGAAAAATAGCTCTCATCTAGTTACATCATTTTACTATATCAGTCTAAAAACAGTCCTATTGATTAATGACATACATAATACAGTAATGTATGATTCTCAGTAATAACGAAATATCTGATAAAGCTGAAAGCAAAATCAGCAAAGAATGCAAGCCTTGCAAAATTCTTTGAACAAAGATTTTTAAAGAATGTTTCAGGCGGGGATTTAATTTAGCTCAGTGTAAGTGCCTGCCTGGCAAGCACAAGGTCATGAGTTCTTTAAAAATCTAGCTCAGTGGCTTACATGCCTGCCTGGCAAGCATGAGGTTATGAGATCTTGAGTTCGATCCCTGGTCCAAAAATAAATAAATACATAAATAAAGCAAGCAAGCATTTGAAAGTATCTCTGAAAAGAATAACACAAAAGAACTAATTAGTAACTCAATTCAAATTCCCATTGTGTTTGTGAAGCATTTTTGAATAGGGAAATATTTACTATATCAACAGAGGATGCATTAACATAGTGCTCAAAATGTTAACATTAAATCAAAGCAACTTTTAATTTCCCCATAACTGACCAGCTGTCTTTGGGAAATTTTCCCAACAAAAAATGTTGACAAGCCAGCGAGTTAGCTCAGCAGCATGAGCACCTGCCTGGCAAGCGTGAGGTGGCGAGTTCGAGCCCTGGTTACCCGCCCCCCCCCACCCCAAATAGACAAATAATAGTACAAATACCTCACAGGACCACTGAAGAGTAAATAACACAGCCGTGTAGAATTTATCACAATACCTAACACTACAAACATTCAGTGTTAGCAGTCACTCTGACACCACTGACCAACACCAAGACTTGTACTTCTTGGTTTCTATCACTGATGACAAATGTTCACTAACACATATCTAACCAATAATACACATCTGATCAGCAATACGCACATTTAAGACCAATAATCAAGAAGCATCTTTGAAAGATGAAGTCTCGGGGCTGGGATTTAGCTCAGTGGCATAAGCACCTGCCTTGTAAGCAGGCAGTCGTGAGTTCGATCCCCGGTACCGATAAAAAGGAAAAAGACAAAAAAAAAAAAAAAAAAGATGAAGTCTTCACACCCCCCTTTTCTCTTCATAAAGAATCTCAGCACATTAGGTTAAATAAAACTATGTAAATCACATCATTACCACTTCTGTGTCACAGAGACAAACATGCAGCATTTAAGAGTCCAGTCAAGGATCCAGTTTCTAAGGTCACATAAACCTGTACTGGAATAAATACCACTCCTGTCTCTCCTTATTCATATTGACTTTAAACTCAAACCTTGGTCCTGGTTATTTTTAGATCAGAGTATCATAACAAGAAATGAAATAAAGAATGAAATTATTATAATATAGTACAAATTATACAAAACATAAACAAATCATTACGACTATATAGCCAGAGTTTCAGGCATTAGTCTACCACAGAAGCTTACAGTTTCTCAAGCCAACTGACTACTTAAGACAACTAATAGTAGACAAATTTGTGCAGCTATGCGCCAAACGTTATGCTAAATCCTTTTCAGGGATTAGTCCATGCGTCACAGCAAGCCTATCAGACAAGTTTATCCTCATTTCATAAGTGTGAACATTGTAGAGATGATAAATGTCCTATCTAAGATCTCACAAGGGAAAAGATGAAGTGTTAAAACTGAAACTCAGTGAAACTCAGCGTGGGGCCAACATACCATTCTGTCTCCTTAGCAACAACACAGGACAAATTTGGGAGGGCCCGAGTAAAACATGACACATGCATGTCGAGGAACAGCTTTAAATAGCACTCATATACAGAAGGAGTATCCCTTACCTGAACTCTCTGGGCCCAGATTTGAGACTTTTTCAGATCCTGGGGGTGGGACCCACATTTAAACACAAATTCCCTGTTTCCCATTTGCCTTCCTGCATACCCTGAGGTGATCTGAGTGAGGTGCATCAGGTGTACCTGCCTTCTGACTGCCATCCATTACATGAGGTCAGGCACAGAATTTCCACTTAACGGGGCCATGTTGGCTCTCAAAAGTTTTGGATTTTGGAACATACTAGATTTCCTATTTTTGGATTAGTTATGCTTAACCTATATAAACACATCTCAGCTGTTTTGATCATTATGAGACACAAGACAACCAGCAGTTTTGTGTAATAGTATTCTGAACTAAAAGCAAATGACCTAGAAGTTCACATTCCTACTATCTCAGCGGTGATTCATGTGCAAAGATCTTTTTTTTTTTTTTTTTTGGTACCAGGGATCAAACTCATGACCTCACGCTCAGCAGGCAGGCACTTATGCCACTGAGCCAAATCCCCAGGCCCATAAAAATCTTATTTTAGTAAGTGTTCTGCTATCACACATCTTATAATTGCATCTAATTTAAATGTGCTTATTTTTCAAGATGTTTTAAGCCTTTTTTAAAAAAATCACATGAAATGTCACTTCAGCTCTCACATTCAATTCATACTACAAAGAAAAAACACTAGAATTCACAAATGATTAAAAACCCACAGAATTCTTTCTTTCTGAGAATCATTTACTGTTTTACAATCAAAGATAATAGACTGTGGCAGGCAACATGGACAAATCTGAAATCCAGCACTCTGGGAAGCTCAGGCAGAAAAGTCCCAAGTTTGAACCTAAACAGACAACTTAGGAACCCTGTCTCAAAATTTAAAACAGCTGGGGATATACAGCTCAATGCAAAGGCTCTGGGTTCAACCCTCAATACTGAATTGAAAAAAAGATGACATTCCTACATAGATTAAAACAGTTATCAACTGTCTTACAACTTCATTTTCAATCAGTTAATTAAAAGTATGCAATATTTCAACAAAATGACAGTTAATAATTTCCCTTCAGATCTCATACTGACTTATTAAAATAAAACTCTAGACCTGCACTTCAAAATTTTTTCATTCTAAACATATTCTAAATTAATTTCCAATTTGTATCTTTCTTTTATTACCAGATTGAGCATTCTTAATCTGAAAATCTGAAATGCTCTAAAACTGAAATTTGGATCCTCAAAAAGCTTCAGACTTCAGATTTTCAGTCAGGGAGATTCAACTAATAAAGTCTGCTAACATTCCAAATCCAAAACAATGAAGTATGAAACACTTCTAATCTCAAGCATTCTGGATAAGGGATAACCCACCTAAACCACCAATTTTGCCACCAGGAACCACTTCTGTAACAGTCTTGTCACCTTTTCTATGTACTATGTCCTTCTTAAAGCAAAAAAACCTTCCTATTCTCCATATGCACCAGGACAGCTGGCAGTATCTCAGATACAGAAGACTCTGAGATTTTACTACCTCCAGAAGTCAATAAAGATAAGCCTTTAATAACTTTATTGTTATCTTGAATATTATTATGAAAATTTTCGTATGTACAGAACCGATGAAATGGTACAATCTCCCAGTACATCTTAAAATTAATCACACAGTCCCTAGTTAGGGACTTCTGGGAGAAGGTAAGTGGTAAGCAGCGGAGAAAGCTGCTCTGAGAGCTGCCCTTCTGCCCCAGGAACACA